AGAGATGAGTAAAGCAGCGAGTCACAATGATAAAAAACACTCTATTTTTTTTCTTTAACCTTGGCTGGGTGCCGCTGGGCCCCCGCCCCACCCTGCCCTTCCCGCAAGGCTCCCGCACGGCAGATAAAGCTGGAGCTTGGCGGAGGCTGCGAGGCCAGAGCTTCGCCAGCGCCCGGCGTGTGCCAACAAGCTTCAGCAGGTTGAGAGTGAAACTGCAGCGCAACACGAAGCGCAGATCCTAATCGGGGCGGCGCGTTTCCACTGGTGGCCCAGCACCGACAGCGAGTTCGGGTTAAAAAAAGAGAATTAAAAATAATAATAATTAAAAAAAACCCCCAAACCAACCCAAACTCTTCAATTACAGCTCAAGAGGTGAGAAAAATCCCTGATGAGATGCTGGGATGATGGTTGGGATGGAGAAATGCAGCCCCAAGCTGGAGGTGAGCGGTGGGGGAGCCGTGAGTTCAGCCCCAGGGATGTGACTTCTCCACAATGGGACTTTTTTTTTGGGGGGGTCAGGCTGGTCCTGCCACGCAGCAGCTCAAGGACACGGGGCAATCGTGCTCTGCTTTGGGACGGTCCCTCCCGCCGCGCTTGGGCGAGTTGCTGAGCCTCGCTGCCTCCGTTTCCCCACCTGTGGGAATAAATACCTGCCTGTCAAGACCTCGCAATTACCAGCAAAGTTAATCACCATATAAAAACGACAGTGATATGATTTGAGAGGAGGGGGGGAGGGGGAGAGGAAACCATTTTTATGACCAGACACACCCCGTGGCCCGTTTCTCCAGGGTGGGTGGGAAGAGCTGAATGTTGCTGCTTCTCTGTGTACCCCCCAAAAAATATAACCCACCCGCTGTCCCCCCCTTTCCAAGCACTTTTAGCAGTGGGATGGGTGTCCCCTCGGTCCCAGGCTGGGTGTTGGCTGCAGGGAAACCCCTGGGGCATCCATGGGTGCTGCACCCAACCCGGACCCATGGGATGGGCAGGGCATTGGGTGCCCCCCTTGCCCCTTCCCCAGCACCCGCCGCCCACGGGTGATGATTCACGGCAATTTTCCTTTTAAGGCCGGGCTTGGCTGGGAGGAAGCAGAGGAGGAGGAGGAGGAGGACACTCCTTCAGCCTCGCTGGCTCCTCCTGCTCTCGCTCGAGGCTCCAACGCTCAGCCAAAAACGAATCCCAGCGCTGGGGCTCAGCAGAGGCTCCGACAGCTCCCGGCCCCGCTCCTCACCCAAGCGTCTGCCCTGCGCCCGCGTCCCAACCATGGCAAGAAACCACCAAGTGCAGAAGGCCAAGCTGGCCGAGCAGGCTGAGCGCTACGAGGACATGGCAGATTTCATGAAAGCGGTGGTGGAACACGGGGATGAGTTATCCAACGAGGAACGCAACCTCCTCTCCGTCGCCTACAAGAACGTGGTGGGCTGCCAGCGCTCGGCGTGGAGGGTCATCTCCAGCATCGAGCACAAAACCGAAGAGGGGGATGACAAGGCGCAGCTGGTGAATGAGTATCGGGAGAAGGTGGAAAGGGAGCTGAATTCCGTCTGCAAGAACGTCCTGTCCTTGCTGGACAAGTATCTCATCAAGAAAGCGAGTGATTCTGAGAGCAAAGTCTTCTACTTGAAGATGAAGGGTGACTACTTCCGATACCTGGCTGAGGTGGCCACCGGGGACGACCGCAAGCATTTGATAGACGATGCTGAGAAAGCCTACCAAGAGGCCATGGACATCAGCAAAAAGGAGATGCAGCCCACGAACCCCATCCGCCTGGGGCTGGCCCTCAACTTCTCCGTCTTCCACTATGAGATCGCCAACGCCCCTGACCAGGCCATCTCCTTGGCC